AAATGAAACTTTCTTCCAGACAGCATGTGGTGTACTTGAAATGCAGCTAAAATGCTTTGTAATCTCTCAAACATAATATACATTCAAATATAATGTGTAGTTCATGGCACTTCATGAAGAAAATAATGCCAAGGCATAAAAGAAAATTTTCAAGCTTGACCTCTATCTTGGGCGTTATAAACAAAATTGTCATCCTATCCTAGCCTTGCACATAGTGCTAGCAGTGAAGATCTCAGTGAGAACTTGCACATCACTGAAGATGCGCGTTTGATGCATGATGACTAGTAGGCTTTGCAGTGTTGGCTCACAAGCTCATACCATCTCCGTTATATAACATCTAAAGAGAGACAAAAGTATGATCGTGGAACCCAGAATGCTGGGCTAATAGAGAATACATGAAACTGCTAGCCAAGATCCCTTTCTCTATCATAGTACTGCCTGGGCATGGCTGCCTTTATTGCATAGAAACTGCTGTTGGTGATGGGACTTCCCGTTTACCCTCTTGAGTAGCTACTAGGCCCCTGCTTTTATGTGAGAGAGAGAGATTAGCATTCCGGTCCTGGCTCAATAAATAATGCATGCAAAATTCAACTGCTGCAATATGAGAAATTCAGAGCCCTGCTTTATAATGCCTTGTGCCTACCTGGGTTATAAATACACTTAAATACAGTATCTTACTAATTTTATTTTAAGTGGTCTCAGATTGATCAACCTCAAACAAATACAAATGAACTACAAAGAAAAATGTTGTTATTATGGCTGTATCTCTGAGTGAACTTTGTACCTGTAAGAGGTGCTAGACTGGTAGCCATGAAAATACTGATAAACCTCAGAAGAACCTCTCAAGCTCTGGCAAGGAAAGCTTTCTGTCCCAGTGTGCTTACTCTTTTATCTAAAGAGTAAAGAGTAGCACTTCCAGGGTGGCCGAAGACTGTACTTTATGTTCTGATTTTGCCAATTAGGAGTATTTCCTGATCATGGAGTGTTTGAGTTGGGATAATTTTTCTAGGCTTCCCTCTCCCTTCTCCCCCTTCCCTCCCCGAGATAGTGGTTTTGTCACTAGAGCAAGGAAAGAAACAACACAATCGTACTGGAACATAAGAAAGTCCAAACTTTCTTAAGAAGAAATGAGATTTGTACTGGTACAACTTGTCTGATCCTGTCATCAATGATTGAACGTACAAGCCACAGCAAGCAAATATATCCAGTAAAAAAGGTAGAGAAAAGGTGTAGCAATTCACTGCTGCTGCTTCTGTTCCTCTATGAAGGAGTTTAACTATTTTCAAATTTTCAAACAAAACTATTGTCCTTTTTCTCACTGAATGTATCACATTTATTATCATTCCTGTACATCTAATAGAAGCCATGTACTTCACTGTAAAATGACTTAGACTTTTAATAGTGTTGTGAGGAAGCTTGAAAGTGTGTTTGATTATATTTTGAATGAAAGTACACTGGCTGTACAGATGACTGACTTCCTCTGCTGGCTTTTTAAAGTATGTTATTTGCCACTACTGTAAGCCAAACTGCAATTCCTTTTCTTTAAGTAGAAAAATTGATGTCAGTGGAATTTCTTTGAGGAAGCTGAGCAAAATCTCACCTTAATGCTGTAAATAAGAGCTGCATGCATGCATGCATCTTTATTTACTGCTCTTGGGTTGCTGCACCCAAATACATATTATGTATTTTTTTTCCTCCCTTTCAAAAAGCCGGCTAGACTTAGTGGGTACAACTGGTAATTCATTTATGGGTTTCTGACTTGCACACTATTAGTGTCTGTAGTGAAAGTCAGCTTATCTGGTATTGTTTGAGATGCTGTGACTCCCTTTTGCTCGTTTTAACTTCACGAAAGCCTATTTTAGATCTTGTAGGTCTAAATCTATGCCATATAATGGATGTAATGAATTTTAAAATTGTTTTGTTTAATAGATGTACCATTACGTTTGGGAAACTTCCACTTCCTCTCTGAACTTCAAAATAAATCAGATCTATTTTGTCTACTTCCTTTTAACAAATAAAGGATCCAGTGTGACTTGGATCACATTCACCTGATCTCTGGCTTAGTTTATATGCATATCGGTAACCAAATGCAAGAAACCCTGGAGTAATCTCAGGAGTACAGGATTAAAAGCAGTCTGAAGGGGATTCAGTTCTAGGCCCCTCTGTTGCAGGCAACCCTGTAGTGATTATAGGAATGTCTCTTACATCAGGCTCTAACTCCTAGCTACTTTGTTTGATTTTGCCGTTTATTGGAAGAACATTGCAAAACTTCTAGATGCTCATCAGGAAGATTTTGAATTGGCAATTCTAATTCATCATTAGTTTCCAATATTTATTTGTGGTATAGTTTGATGCAATCTTATCCGTGAAGTACGTAACATTTTTCACTGTTCCATGCCTACAGTTCATTTGGCATTTGTTTTCTTAGGCAAAACAGCCCAAGCTCTCCTTATTCTTCTGTGTCCTATTGATTATCTGAAGAACTCTTTTCTATACCTGCTCTGATTTGAGTTCAGCTAGCTTGTACACAATAGACTTAAAGTTGCTCATGTTTCCAGTGAGGTTTTTCTAGATCCTTATATTAATATAATATATTTTCCTGCCTTGAATTAAGAATGTTTTGCCCAATAGGATCTTGGATCACATTTGCATCATACATGACCTTAATCTTTTTTGTGACTTGATTAGCAATCATATTCTGAATCTCATTTGCCTTGTACAATTTTGGACTGCATTACGTCCATTCAACAGTGTTGGTGTGGCACATGCAACTCCCCAACCCCACCACCACGCTCACAAATCCAGGAAGGCTCAGAGCACAAAGTGATCTTTAGTTGATAATAACAGAAAGATTACTGCTTCTCTCACCTTTAATGTCTTTGGTTTCAACAATATGTATCTTGCAAGAATGTGTATATATATATGGCTACATGTGTCTTAATATACATAATATGTAATATACATAATATGCATCTTAAAGAAAATCTATCTATGTATTTTTAAAATCCTGTCAGATTGCTGCAAAGGAAAGAGTACTCGGTATATAGCAAGCATTTCTCTTTCATAGTTTTTTCACTTTATTTAGACTCTGGAGACATCAGTAATGGATAATTTTTTCCATATAATTTCCTAAATTAAAATGGCTACTTAATCTGTTGTGATAATGCAGAACTCCAAAATATGATGGTCCCTGGGCCATGTTCCTCTAGGCTAGCGCAACTAGAACTTCTTTCAATGGTCGCTCTGTGATGAGGAGTACAGAGCCTTGTCTTTCTTCAGTAATGTATAGCTATTGGCAAATTTTTCCTTCAGATTGCAGAATTAATGTCCTACAGAACTCGGAAAGTATCTTCAGTTTTCAGTAGGTTGGGAGTAATGAGCTGTAGATTGTACCTCAGAGAAATGGAGCTATGTCAAAAATGCTGTGGTAGCTTTTTAAGGTTCACGGTGGATTGGGCAAACTAAGCCTTCCTTTCAGTAATTCCTGTCTTCTCCATGCCCTATAAAAACTTCTTGGATTACCATCTGCTGTTCCAGATTTTGTCAGAGACATAAGGACAGCTGAAAGCAATGCAGAGCTAATGCTCATAAAGATCCTGCATTACTTTTGGCTGCACCTGCCCCACTTTCATTCCTGCCCCTAAACCTCTTAGCTTATCTCTTTTCCTCTCTCACTTCCTGTTTCTCATCTTTTAGTTCCAGAGACTGTTTTCCTCTAAGAGTGGAGACAGGCTTGCAGTAGCCTTTGTAACAAGGCTTCCTGTTTTCTTGTAGTAGGTCTTTTATTGCTGTTCACATTTCTTTCTCAATTGTAGTCTCAGTTCCAGAGATAATGAAAATTCCTCTCATCTTCCCCCTCCCTCGCTACTTCCGGAGTAGCACACCAGCTTTTGTAATAAATGAATGCAATTTTTAGGGATGTTCTTCAAAACCTATTCAGTCTATGTTATTAAACTCACTCTCTTGTATCTTGCACATTAACGCTGTATGTTAATCTGGCAATTTTCTTAAGTTCTGATTCCAGCGAGTGTATTCCTCTTTTGCTCAAAAATCAACTCCCGAGGTCTTCCAAAAACACATCTCAAAGCATATGCTTGTTCATCAGTTTGCTAGCAAAAGTGGAAGAGGGTTCTTGGACTGATCTCTTGAAAGATCACATGAATCTGTGTGCAGATCCTCTCTCAATTATTTTTACTGGAAAACAACAGCAACAAATACCTGCAGGTACTTAGACATGCTACTGGTATGGTGAGAGCAAGTCTTATTCTATTTGGGAACTGATAAGTTAATGCCTGATAAGTTAATGCCTGTAGATGATTTTCCTTGTATCCTCTTCTATTGCATATCTCTGCTTAAGAGGTAATTATTGTTAATGGGCTGAGTGGTTCGTACCGGATGCCTTTGGTATTATGTAGCATCACAGGTCAGTACATCAGGTTAAGGAGAGTTCTGAGTCAGGGAGAAAAGCTGCCCTGCGGGAGCTGGGGCTTGCTTGATCTGTGGTTAAGCCAACACTCATGAACGTCCCGGGGTTTATCTTTAAGCGTTCACAGTAGTAAAATCCTGAGGAAAAGAACAAACTCCATCATCTGAAATGTTTTGGTAGCTGCGCTCTAAGAAGGATTCTTAAATGCAAAGCAGAGTGCCGCTTTGGAGCGTGTAAAGCCGCTAAGTGTGACAGGATAGATGTTCCACAGAGCCTAATTCCTCTGTTTACTGATATGCAGGGCAAACTTGTTCAAAAGTGTTTTGGGCCACAGGCAGGTGTGGGTTTTTGGTTTGTTTTTTATTTTGGGTTTTTTTCTTTTTTGTTAGAATGTGCTTAGGAGTCCAAATATTTCAGGCTAATCAGTTTTTCAGCTGTCCTCTAGTAGTATCGCCCCTTTCTTCTCCCAAGGAAGGTGTACTGCTGGGATACACTACTTCCTGCTCTGTTCAGGAGGCTTGAAATGCATGTGGTTCCATACAGGTAACTTGTCATGCTGTGGTCTGTGCTGCAGATTCGCATTCAGTCGCGGATATTGGGATTTACTGCTTGTCCTAACGGGTGGCTTTGTAGTGCTGAGCGGGGTGCTGACACAGCTGGGAAAATACTGCAGGCAGTAAAGATCCCCGCCCCCACTCAGCCTGCTTATTTCTGTGCCTGTGCTGAGACCTCTAGCTAGTAAGATTGGGTGTTTTTTTGGTGTTGCCAGCTAAACCTCATCTTTGCTGAAATAAATCCTTCACTAGCTTTTATATTTATTCTAAGTGAGAGAGATTTTCATGAAATAATAGTTTTCTCAGTATTCAGGCCCTTCAAAGGCAAGCATGGATTCAGTTTTTGTACTCAGAGGTGGGTATTACAGATGGGGATCACTCTATGAAAACAAGAAGGAATGAACGTATGAAAAATGATCTCGTATTGCGTTCTGAAGCAATGCTATTGTGCATGAATGTGAGTGTAGTCCCTGTATTTAACAAAAAAAGAAAAAGACAGCAGTATTTTTTTTGTGTGGGGGTATCTGAGCAGATGGCTAGAGAAATCAGATTTCAAGATGGGGACCATAAAATCACTGTAGCAGCTGAGACTGCCTCTCCTGAGCAGACTGGGAGAAAACCTTTTTCCTTATATAGGTTCATCAGTATCTCAACGGTCATTTGCTTTGGGAAGAACAGCTTCATCAGTACAAATGCTTGAATGTTAACTTAATAAGCTCTAGTAGTTCTGTTGCTAAAATGCTGTAGTGTTAGTAGTAATATTTGGGGAAAGAATCCAGGGTCAACCTCTTGGATGACTTGCTTTAGAGTCAGATTTGCAAAAGTCAGTTACCTTTGTCTTGGTACATAGCTTGTCTCTGTCTGTTTCCTCTAGTCATCCTCTGAGGCGAATAACTGAGGGCTTTGACCTTCTAACTGTAGAACAACCTCGCAGGGAACCTGATGAAAAGGAAATACATATTCAGTATGCGTTTGCTGTTGATATCGTTCCTTCTGCGAACAGTAGCCTTAACCTGGAAAATGGGATTGTGATTTCTTGAAGGGGACGTCCCTGGCAGTCTGTCTTGGGATTTTTCATGTCACTGAATAAGCATGGAAAAAGTAAATTTGGGCTTTTTAGGCAAAGCTTTCTGTACAAGTATCTCTTCAGGCTTGCCTTTTGTCAGAGACCTTTTGTCAATGATTATTCAAAAGATTGGGTCCAAGGAAAGAATAAGTGAAGTACAAACTAGTAAGAGCTCAAAAAGAGTCTAAGACATTGTCCCCCATTTTTAATCGTTTATGTGCCAACTGAAACAGATCGCCAAGGTCCACGGGCAAAGATAGCAGGAAGATAATTTGTAGTCTTTTGAAGAGATGCCCTTCTCTTTAGTAAATTGTGGTAAAGGAGATTCTTCTGACATAGAATTTCTCAGCTATCTAGGAAAGGGAATCTGTGAAGACTATTTGTCATCAGATGCCAATGAAGAACAAAACATCTATCAAACTGAGTAGGACTACAAACTTTGGGAACTCTTTTGACATGCAGAGCATGTCATGTTTTCTCCTTTGAACTTGTCAATGCTTGGTAGAAAGGTGACGGAAGAAGAGTGGCCTGATTCTTCTTCCTGTCTCTAGATTTAACCTTAAAATTGATACCAACTGCACTCTTAAATATGGCTTCTTTGATGAAGGCTTCTCTGTAAAGCAAAGCTTCTATTTGTGGGATGGAGTGCAGGATTTTGTGCTAAAAGCAGCAGCCACAGTTAATAACTACTGACAGACTTCTCTCATATCGGTTGCTTCTTCAGCCACTTATGGTTTCAGCATCCAAAACTTCCGGACAGCATTTCAAAGTTAATGGTAAATTGCTTCTTAAACCTCTTTTAGGTGTCCTCAAGATCCCTTTTTGTGAGAAATAGTTCACAGAACAGAAAGGGAGAGAGATAGGAAAATGAGTATATCTGACAAACAGAGTTTTGTGCAGATGGTATACAGAGGATAAAATTGTAATGAACATAAAATCTGTACCTTTATTGAACTTTTAATTTTCCCATAATTTTTAATACCTACTTAAAAGCTGTGGTCCCCAAGCTAAAGATGCCTGGTAAATTTCTTTTAATTTGGGATTTAGAGGTTTTGTAGTTGTTGTTGTTTTTTGTTTGTTTATTTGAGAATCAGGTCTAAGAGGTTAAATGGAGTGTTGTGTTTGAATACTTCCATCTAATGATAATAAAAATCTAGATTCTCCCGGGTACTAAAAATTGTATATAAAAAAATAGCTATTGCTCTCTCTAATCCTGTTCATTAGTGCTCAGACTTCTAAATACCTATTTCCTTAATATAGGTAACTTCTTTTTAAAGTAATGTTTATCAAGAGGTTAACTTAGTGTCTTTGTGTGTGTACACAACTGAATCCTATCCAACAGCCTGTAATAAGGAGATACTTCAAATATTGCTCTTGTTCTTTGTAAGATATTAATCTTAAATGAGATTATTCAGCCTTTTCCGAATATACAGACTACTCCTAGTTCCTCCTATTTCAATATAACGCATTGACACATTCTTCCCTGTTCTAATGCTTACAGGGCTATTTCCTCCATGGGAAAATAATTGTTCACAAGTGATCATTTGTAATAGCTTTAAAAGCTTTCTAGGGATAGGATCATTGTTTTGTTTTGTATTTGTTTGTTTATGAACAGTATAAAAGAAACCTGTCTTGCATCTGAAACTTTGAAAGCAGCGTTAGTGGTTCAAGGATTTTCCAACTCTGAAGGGGATTTCTTAGTATGTGTGTTCAACTTTAGCTGTGAAGGAAACTTATTATTGGAAATAGTTTGACGATAGTACACTTTTCTGCTAACTACAATAGAAGCCATCTCTATTATAACACTTATTTTTCTCTAGGCAAAATTATCTTAAGAATCATCACCAAGTCACCTGTTCAGTGTGCGTACGCTTTTCTGCCAAACTGAAACTTGGAATTAAATTTTATGTTTTTTTCTCCAAATCTCTTCCCCCACCACCACCACCACCCCCCATCTTGTAGTATCTGCTTGACCAAGTAGAATTTGGGAAACTGTTGGTGCACTGTCATAAATACAAATTTCTTAGTATTACTTTATATAATACATTCAAGTGATTGCAATATGCATGTATCCATATACAGATGATAATTTGTTACTGACTAGATTATTTGCATATATTTCTTTTTCTTTAGTCGAATGGTGTTTGCATTTGAATATCTACTAGCAGATTGCAGGTGTCATGAGAAGGGGGCCCAGAAGAGGAAGAGGCGTATAAAAATGCTGCCACTTCTGTACAAATAATTGGGTTACCATGTGTTTCTGCGGCTGCCTACTTTAATTTTTTTTATGTGATTAGATAGTTGTAATTTACTGATTTTAAAGAGTGATCCAATTGCAGTGTTTCTATGACAGAAGAGACCTGCATTTTGAGCGGCCTTATAATACTCATGTTGGAAGATGCTTTTTTTAAATAAATTTAAAGATTAATATATGCATACATAAATACAACTTCTCCGGTCTGCAAATGTAATACGTTAGTATATTGTCAAAATGTAGTTAAATAGCAGAGGACTTTGTAAGTAACCTTGCTAGCGAACTCTGGGTGTTAAAGCTGCTTTTTTTGACTCAGTTTAGGACTCTTAACATACTATTTATTCTCAGCTTTAGTACCTGTGAGAGGTAAAGACAGCTGAATATAGCTTCTATCATATACAATGCAAGTCTGCCTCTTATCAATTAGAATTTAAAAGGAGAGAGACTTAAACTACCTTTAAATCACTGCATTTTTTGTTTAAAAGAATTTCATAGGGAAAGTACTGAAACGACTGTTTGCTGAAACTTCATCATCTTCTGTTGTGCATGCTTCGAGTGGAAAAGAGGCGGTGGTTCCTGGAAACCTGGGCTCAAAGTCCAAAGAGAAGGATTTGGAGAACGTTCAGACTTTGTCAACAGATGCCAGTACGTCCGGTGATACGTGCTGCAAATCATTTCAAGGTGAGAACAGGTAGTCCTTTTTCTAGTAACATACTTTAAATATATTTCCTTTACTTGAGTATATTGCAGTATCTGCGATTGTCATGAAATTAATACCCACAAACAAACCTGAGTACAAGAGCTAGTGGTACTTGACACCAAGAATGCTTAAGGTCAGTGCATCAGTCATATGAAAACTAAGAAGTAGTCTTGATGTATATATCTTTATGTGAGGTTTAGCAGTAGCTAATATGAAACATCAATATAAGCTATGGTTATCTCTGATATAATGTCTGTTGAACAGTGGGAAGATTAATTAAAAAGCTGGGCAGAGTTGTAGCAGTACTTAAAGATAAACCCGCAGATTGAATCACCCAATCCCTCCAGCACTCTTCCTACCTTAATGTTACAACAGAAGCCGAGGTGCATATATACATAAGGGAAGGCAAATATAATCATTTTAGGCAGTATGTTAGTACTAAAAAGCATTATTTTCAGTTTATGTGGATGCAATGAAAGTGGCCTGTAAATATTACGACAGGTGAGTAAAAGTCCTTTTTCAAATGGGCTGTTAAAGGTGGATGCTATGCCAAAAGATGAGAACTGTAAAATAGGATAACTCTAGTGGTATTTGTGAGTGATAGGCTCAGCACTTACGTGTAGAATGAACTTGAATTGCTTCGTGTTGTAGTTCATCTCAAATCAAGTCTTGCCTTAATGAAAAAGGTCATTAAACTAGCTTTTTTATTTTTACCCTGTGTACTGTGAGTGCTCAGTACTAGCTGCAGAATCTGATTTGGAGTAAATGAATGTAGTATGAGTACTGCCCAGAGAAGAGTGTTATGCTACATTTGTAGTTGAAGGTAGAACTGAAAATAATTTGAAAGGAAAGCCATTCGAGACATCTTTTGGTCTCAATTATGGGCTAAAAGTTTTTGTTGTTTAATTCTGTTTTAAGGTGTATGTGTTTGCAATTTTACTACTGCTTTATCACAGTTATGTATGCAGTTCCTCTTTATTGCTCTGCTTTTCTCCCTTCCTCTGCCATACACATACGTAAGTTCCCTCATTGTACCAAAATCTTTGCTGTTTTGTGGGGAGTGTACTAAAGAAACTACAGTTCTAAAACTGTTCTGAATTCTGTGAAGAATTTGGGGATAGTGCTAGCAAATTGAAATGCAAAATGTTTTTCTGTGATAAAACATGCACTCTTTAGATTATTCTGGTTATTGTACTTTTTTCCCCTTGCATATTGATCAATGCTGGTGGTCTCCTGTAGTAACCAAAAGGTAGAAGATGTTATTTATGTCCAGTAATACTGACAGAGTATGTAACTTAACCTTTCAGAGATAAAAGACATGCCCTATTATTTTATACTATAGATTTTAAAAGCTCTGAGAGTAATAAAACAAAAACAAACAGAAAACATTGTGCTAGGGCAGTTGCTGTGCTGTACGTGTTACTCACAAACAAGGGAAAAATGATTGCAGATGTCATCGGGGCAGGAGATTAAAATCTTGAGAAGAGTAAGCAAAATGAGTAGTAGAATTGGAAACCTGAGCTACAGGAGGACAGCTGTTTGTCTTGTTCAGGGATCTGTCTGGCAGGAACCAGTAGAAGACTGCTCCAAGCTGTAAAGACGCTCAGGAGAGCTGGTTGATCTTCCAGAATAACCTCTTCAAAGCACAGGAACGGCCCGTTCTGACACGTGTAAAGCTGAGCAAGTGTGGCAGAAGGTCTCACTGAGTTCAGGTGCATGTCAGGGAAGGTTAGCTGGAACAAGGAAGGCAGAAGGGCGGTGTCTTTGCTGTGGGAGCAGTCCCACAGCACCTGGAAAAAGAAAAGCAGAGCAGACCTTGTGACAGTAACCAGGTTCATTCTACAGTTTGGCAATTACCAGGCAAGTCAGTAGAGACAAGGCAGGTTGAAGATGAAGCCAGGAAAGCAAACTTGTAAGGGTATGTGGCATGGGACAGGCATGGCTACAGTCCAGCCCAGACAGGGAAATAAAGGTGAGAGGCTCAACTTACATGCAGCTTTTGAGTAAAGGGAGGGGAGCCTCTGCTGTTTCTCAAATGGTTCTTTCTTCGTGATAGTCTGAATCAATGGCTACGCCATATCAGAGAGCTGGCCTTGAGTACAGGCAGCTAACCTCCTAGGAAGAGAGGGTATGTGCTCTGGGCCCTTACAACGCAAAAAGGAAGTAACAGAAGGTGATAGCAGACAGTAGCTAGCTGAGAGGAATATAGACACATTGCCTGAGTATGCTAGGATAGAGTTACGAAAACCAGAGCTCAGCTGGAGCTGAAACTCATGAGGGATGTGAGAGGCAGCAAGAAGGGCAGGGACAGCAAATGGAAAGATAAGGAAAACGAGGAGCAGGTCCACTGCTCACTGGGCAGGGGGCTAGTGACAGAAGACGGGGAAAAGGCTGAGGTGTTTGGTGGTGGTTTTGCCTCAGTTCTTACTGGTAAGGTTTGTCCTTCGGCTTCCCAGGTCCCTGAACCAGGTGGTAGAGTCTGTGAGAGTGAAGTATTGCCCACAGTAGAAGATTGAGTTAGGGAGTATGTAAGCTAATCCAAAAGTCCTTGGGACCAGATGGAGTGCATCCAGGAGAGCTGGCTGATGTCATTGTGAGGCCTCTATCATCTTTGAAAAGACATGGCCATTGGGGGAGTTCCTAGATAACTGGAAAGGGGCAAGCATCAAATGCATTTTCAAGAAGGACATGAAGGAGGATCTGGGAAACTGCAAGCCTGTTAAGGAGTAAAAACTCCTGGAAGCTATTTCCAGGCATGTGAAAGACAAGAGGAGGATTGGGAACAGCAAGTTTTGAATTGCCAATGGCAAATTGTGTATGACCAACCTAATTGCCTTCTACGATGAGATGTCATTTGCTTTAATTTTTAGCAGGGCTTTCAACACAGTCTCCAACAGCAGTCTATAGCTAAATTGGTGAGATGTGGACTGGGTAAGTGACTGATAAGATGCATGGAAAATTGGCTGGACTACCAGGCTCAGAGGGCAGTGATCAGCAGTGCAAAGTTCAACTGGTGGCCACGTACTGGTGGCATAGCTCAGGAATTGATACTGGAGACAGTGTTGAATGTCTGTATTAATGACCTGGACGATGGAACAGAGAGCACTCTTGACAAGTTTGTGAACAATACTGAAAAAGGGGAGTGGTTGATGTAGTGCAGTTTAGAGGGGCTTAGATAGATGGAAGAAAGGGCTGAGGGGAACATCATGAAATTCAGTGAAATCAAGTGCGGAGTCCTGGGTCCAAAAAGAGTAGCCGGTAAGATAGGCTGAGGGCTGACTGGCTAGAAGTAACTGCAGAAAAGGACCTGGGGGTCCTGGTGGACAGCAAGTTGAGCATGAGTCAGTAGTGCACCCTTGCAGCAGAGAAAGCCAACCACATACTATGCTGTACTAGCAATACTGTCAGCAGGTTGAAGGGAGTGATATTGCTCTTGTGAGACTGCATTGGAGCAGCACTCGGGAGACCGTACTTGGAGTACTGTGCCCTGCTTTGGGCTCCCTAGTAAAAGAAAGATGGTGACAAACTTGCTAAGAGGCTACAGCAAGGGCTATATATTGTAAAGGAACAGGGCAGGATTAAACAACATCTAACACAAGAAGAGAAGGCAATCTTGGCCAGAGGATCGTCCTTATATAAGGTTTCTTACTGTTTTCTCATCAAAAAGATATTGCAGGAATTTTGGTCAGATTCGGCACTCTGCCCAAAGGGTAAGAATGTGGGGAAAAAAAACTGCAGTGTGTTCCACAGATCATTATGCTACTTGGATATAAAAAGAGAAGTGGGAAGAGGTTTCTTACAGCAGTGGTTGGTCTCCTTTCACAAGCCTGTTCTGTTTTTTTTTTTTTTTTTTTTTTAAACCACAACTCAGAAAAGCCTGAATTTTTAGAGCCAACACTTGAGAACTAGGTTGGTTTACTAGTATTGCATAGACTTTGAAAGCAAGGATGCCAAGGCCGTGTGCTCAGAGGCATCAACATATGCCTGATGCTTTCACAGTCAGCAGCTATGGTTTGTAAAGAGGGTTGTCTCTGAATCCTTGAATGAGCTAGGCTATCATGAATATTTCAGCCCATACTCAGACTCTTAAGCCACTTTATCAGCTGAAAGTTTATCTTCTGGAATGGAACATGGTATTTGGTAATCCATATTATTATGTTTCCACTCAATCTGCATGGGGCCTTACTTGAAATAATGTTGTTCACTAACCCCAAGGTAAAACACGCAAGAATCCAAGAAAACTTCTTCAAGCATGCTTCATTATGGAAAGAGCTTCTAGAGAAGATGAGTGAGGTACAACTGAAGAAGAAAAAAAAGTGTTACCGGAACCTACACAGGGAACCTTGCTGGCAGGCAGTTGAAAAAAAGGGGGGGAGAGGGGAATCTGCTGCTTTCTCTTCTGCTTAAAAATCCTTCAGCCAGCTTGCTATTGATATTAGACCTCAACTGTTACAAAAGAACAAACAAAACTTTAGGCAGCATCAGTTATTAACCAGTCATAAACATGGGTTCTGATCCTCTGTATACTTAAGGCTCCAAGTGTTAACTTGATCTCAAAAGGGACAATATAAATGCAAATGTTTACTGGATCAAGATCCAAAAGTGTAACTCCTAAATTTTAGGGGCACACTTCCTATTATGCTTGAAGATGCAAGCATTTAATGCAGTGCAGTAAATAACATTCCAATACAGATAAGAATTTGATTTTTTTTTTTAGCTTGTGCATACTTATAACTATTTTCTTAATTTAAAATAGCTGTTAAAGGCAAGTAGAACATTGATAATTTTTTAAAGTAAGTTTTTTTCCATTTTATTTTACAAGCTGCTATTTAATGCTAGAATATACTCAGACCTTCAATCAGATTTTTGTGAAATCAGGATTTCACAAAAAAGAAATCCTCAGTCTTTTATTGACGTCAAATTATTTCAATCTAACAAAATCTGCTGAATTACTTGATCACTTTCAAACTAGGGAGGAATT